GTTCCAAAGTATTATTTGAAAAAATTCAAATTTGAAGCTGTCAGGCAAAAAAAACCGTTTTTCAGATAGCCCGCCAAATCAAATCGTACTAGAGACAATAAATAAATTAACAATAATTTTAAACAATGACGATCGTATCAGTACAACCGTGGGCTATATCGTTCCAATTTCATTTAATCATTTTGAATAAAATTAATAGTTATAAGACAAGAAAACATTACACTATAGGGTAAACTCCCTAATTGTTGGCACTTTAAGAGTAGGTTCCATGTCAGTCAGACATTAAATTACCATAATCACATCTAAATGAGTTAGTACACAACACATGTAACAGTATCAAGGAAATATAGTTCAATCTTTGTTTTCATAATAGTACAGTCAATGAAGGCAAAAATCAGCTATAACCTCCGATTTCGATGAACCTCCACCGATTTTCATGAAAAATGGTGATGAGGTGGGGGATACCATATGAAACAAAAGTGACATAGTGCCAACTTGCACTTTTTCCCTAGGGGTAGATACCACCTCTTCTCGGGGGTAAAAATTATTTTAGTAAAAATAACTCCAGAAATCGATAGAAAGACAAATTCTAAGCAAAAGTTGTTATATTAATTTTTCGAAATAAATCAATACTTTCTGAGTTAATAATGATCAAAGATTGTGATTTTGCGTCAAAAAATTCATGATTTAAGCGGTTTTTCATAAATATCTCATAAACTATGAGTTTAAAGAAAAATATATTATTACTAGACGCAACAAATATTCGGTTACTATTCGGTATTCGGCCTATTCGGCTGCTTTTATTATATTCGGCCGAATACCGAATACCTACATATTATTCGGCCGAATACCGAATACTTAAATAATATATTTTGTCATAGAGAAATAATTGGTAAAATGAAAATTAATATCGATTGATTACGTAGGTATATATTCATATTTTCATTTCTGTTATATATAATCATTAAAGTAGTCATTGGTACATAATCATCTTCTGAATTGGAAAAACGGAGGATTCTATGTATTTGAATTATTGTGGTAATCAAAATTTAAAAGGGTAAGGTTCTCATTTATTTTATAATAATTTATTAAGTAGTCATGGGTACATAAAACAGGTACATAATTTCATCATTTTCTGTATTAAACAAGTTAAGAATTTTTCTATGCATTTGAATTATTTTCATAATCAAAATTTAGAAGGGGAAGGTTATAGTGCAGAAATTTTCTGCATTTTTAGGAAGTAGTAGAAATTCTTTTTTTCTCTAACACCATCCCAGCTTCAGAGTAAAGGCGCTCTAAATAAACACTACTTCCTGGCGCCGACAAATATTTTGCTGCAATCTTAATCAAACACGGAAATTCAATTTTCCTTGCTGCCACCATGTATATGGGTTGTCATGACGTGATATATTACTAATATTTAAGAAAAGATTAATTTCTGTTGAAACTGCGTTTGACTGAATTGCACTGCAAACAAAGGGGCGCGAAACAATCACGTTTGTACAAGTTTTTGGCGCTTAAATCCAGCCGGATACTTTTGCCTAATATTCAGCTATTCGGTCAGGGGCCTCGTCGAATATTCGGTATACTGCCGAATATACTATTCGTTGCAAGTCTAATCATTACCAAAATTGAAGCTAATAAAAAAAAAAACCCCTTTGAAAAACCTTCTTATATGAATTCAAAGTGAGCTATTGGTAATTGTATGTATATTTTTTTTCGACGAGTACTTAAATCTAAGTTTCCAACCCTAAATAACGGGAAACCGATGCATTTTGATGAATGGTTGGAAGGAAGGGTTTATTTTTCGTTTTTCCTAAAAAAAATAAGTGTAATCTTATTTTTATCATAACTTTTTCAATTTTGAAGTTATTAACTTTTTACAGTACTCATTATAAAGGTATTTCTGAGGAATTTAAAAAGTGCTCCGGAAATGTATGTCATAAATTCATCGGTATCCCGTTATTTAGGTTTGAATACTTAGATTTAAGTACTTGCCGAAAAAAATATATGTACATACAATTACCTATAGCTCACTTTGAATTGAAATTAGAAGGTTTTTCAAAGTAGGCGTTTGTTTGTTTTTTTATTAGCTTCAATTTTGGTACTAACATTTTTTTGTAAAGCTCATAGTTTTTGAGTTATTTATGAAAAACCGCTTAAACATGTATTTTTATAACGCAAAATCACAATATTTTATCTTTAATAACTCAGAAAGTATTGATTTATTCCGAAAACTTAATATAACAAATTTTACTTAGAATTTGTCTTTCTATCGATTCCTGGAGTTATTTTTATTAAAATAATTTTCACCCCCGAGCAGGGGTGGTATCTACCCTCAGGGTAAAAGCGCAAGTTGGCACTATGTCACTTTTGTTTTTTATGGTATCCCCCATCTACTTACCAATTTTATTGTAATTTAATGTCAGCTACCTACTCTTAAAGTGCCAATAATTAGGGAGTTTACCCTATATTCTAATGTTTTCTTTTCTATTAATTTAATTCAAAATGATTAAATGAAATTGGAACGATATAGCCCACGGTTGTACTGTTGTTGTATAATCGTCATTGTTTAAATTGATTTTTGATATATTTATTGTCTCTGGTAGGTACGATTGATTTTATTTTATAAATAAAAGTTTTTTTTGTCTTACATCTTCAAATTTTATTTTTTTCAAATAATACTTTGGAACAATGTTAGGAACAACTAGAACAACTTGGAACAACTAAAAAAATAATGAATTTCTAAACATGGGGGGCTATCTCAAAAACGGTTTTTTTTTGCCTGACAGTTTCAAATTTGAGTTTTTTCAAATAATACTTTGGAACAATGTTAGGAACAACTAGAACAACTTGGAACAACTTTCAAAATAACGAATTTCCCAACATGGGGGGCTATCTGAAAAACGGTTTTTTTTGTCTGACAGCTTCAAATTTGAGTATTTTCAAATAATACTTTGGAACAATGTTAGGAACAACTAGAACAACTTGGAACAACTTTACAAATAACGAATTTCCAAACATGGGGGGCTATCTCAAAAACAGTTTTTTTGCCTGACAGCTTCAAATTTGAGTTTTTTCAAATAATACTTTGGAACAATGTTTGGAACAACTAGAACAACTTGGAACAACTTTCAAAATCACGAATTTCCAAACATGGGGGGCTATCTGAAAAACGGTTTTTTTTGTCTGACAGCTTCAAATTTGAGTTTTTTCAAATAATACTTTGGAACAATGTTAGGAACAACTAGAACAACTTGGAACAACTAAAAAAATAATGAATTTCCAAACATGGGGGGCTATCTCAAAAACGGTTTTTTTTGCCTGACAGCTTCAAATTTGAGTTTTTTCAAATAATACTTTGGAACAACTAGAACAACTTGGAACAACTAAAAAAGTACTTAATTTCAAAACATGGGGGGCTACCATAAAAACGTTTTTTTTTGTCTGGCAGCTTCAAATTTGGATATTTTCAAATAATACTTTGGAACAATGTTAGGAACAACTAGAACAACTTGGAACAACTAAAAAAATATTGAATTTTCAAACATGGGGGGCTATCATAAAAACGTTTTTTTTTGTCTGGCAGCTTCAAATTTGAATATTTTCAAATAATACTTTGGAACAATGTTCGGAACAACTAGAACAACTTGGAACAACTAAAAAAATATTGAATTTCCAAACATGGGGGGCTACCATAGAAAAACGGTTTTTCTTGTCTGGCAGCTTCAAATTTTAGTTTTTTCAAATAATAATTTGGAACAATGTAGAACAACCCAGAACAACTTAGATAATAATAAAATTCAAAAAGTGGGGGGCTAACTTCACAGAGGTGAAATGTTTTCGTAATCAATTATAATGTATATTTTTACACAAAAATATACTTATCTACCTCCTATATGTATTTCTACACCTGACACTTTTAACTTGTTCCACTTTTTTTTTACCAAAATGTTGAAACTTTTGCCATATACAAGCTTTTATCACTTGTTTTTTCATCTGTGTTATCTGTATTTTTTTCTTGCACTAGTTTGCTCTTCTTACAAACCTTTTGATAATGATTCCTGCCTCAACAATTTTCACACCTTATTCTGCATGGCTGATATAGCTTTATATTAAACATGGGTTTTTCACAACAATATTTACAGATTTTAACTTCTTTATTAATTTTATTATAACTGACCATACCTACTGCTGTACTAAGTGATTGCAACTGTTCTGTTATAGCTTCTGATGAAAGACGTATATGAATGGACTTCATCAGATCAAGCCCTTCTACCATTAACAATTCTTTTTTTCCATATTTCTTATTAAATGGGATCTTATTAAACCAGCAAAAACTCATTTAGAAGCAAAACATTTCTTAAGATAGCTGGAGCAATAGTTATGAACAGCCACACCAACCACATCTCATGCTATATCTATAGTATAAAAATTAATTGCTGAACATGTTGCTAAGCACAAATCTCGAGAACAGCTGAACCGATTTCGATAATTCTTTTTTTAGAATATTCCTTGAAGTATGAGGATGGTTCTTATGCAGTGAAAAATTAAAAAAAATTGCCTAAAAATTTCCAAAAACACCTTTATATACTCTCATACAAATGATTCGTAATAATACTTAAAAGTCAATTTGAACTTAAATACCATACCATAAATTTCAAATGTTAGTGGAGAGATTCTGGGAAGGCAAAACAATTGTGCGATGTGATATCAATAGAAGTTTGGAAAAGGCAAATATACCATTTTCAGTTTTTTCATAATTTCATAAATGAAGAGTCAGTTAAATCTACACTACAGCTCTACACCACAGAGGGCGGGCCACTAGTAATTATATATAAAGAAATAATAGATTTAGACATATTTAACACAACATTAATCCATTTATCAGATAAAAGAAACAGATAACAATTTGTTTTTACCATTAACGCAGCTTGATACCCTGTAACTTAAACCAGTTTTTACATAACCATATACAGAATTGGTGGAAGAATAAATACCGTCTTTGAGTTTCCATATAATATTTCCCGCTAAGGGTTCTACAGCAACCATGCCACCCCCTAAAGTGGCGAATAATAGCGGTCTCTCATCCAATGCCCGAGACAACTCAGTGTTTTTCTACAACAAAAAAATTACCAATTTTCAGAAATTATTGATACTCAGTACAGTGCACTCTCCCGCACAACCCACTCACCATTTCACCTGCATTCTCAGGCGAACCGAGGCCGAAGCCTCCTACTACGTACAATACAATAAACAAACTAATCATGATCATGCAAAAGTTTCTCAAACTCCGATAGAAACACACTGTTGCAAACAGAACTGTGATGTAAATTCCATTATTCTTTGAACATAATTAAATAAAAACACGAAAAACGTACTACACAAGGGTATCATTGATGCAACCTCGCGAAATGTTTATGGTTTGACATGATCATGACATCTCTTGCTTGCTCACTTGCTTGATGACTTGACTATGAATATATCGTAGAGAGAGACAAAAATGTAGTTTTGACATTCAGAAGCTGCGTTTCTTACTCTGTTTCAAAAACGATGATAAGCCTGACACATCCATAGAACGTAAATGTTTGCATTTAAGAAAATTTTAACTTCGATAAGAATTAATAGGGAAGATGCATATATAATATTTATGAAAATTTTATGATTAAAATGTTAAAAAAATATAAAAGAAATGTCACTGCAGCGTTATTATTTTACATAATGTTGTTTTTTAACAATTATTACGAATTAAAAATACGTGAAACAGAACGTATTTTAAAACACCAATCAGCGTTTAGTGACGTCACTCCTGTTATGACAACTTCTTTGAGGTTATGGTTGTTAAAGTAAATATTATTTTATGGGAATATTAATTGCATTTTTTATATTAAATAAAAATGGAAGTTGCGTTTATCAAAGCAGACTCCAAGAATTTACCAAGAGTTAGTGTTGACATGGTTATAACTTTTTTTGTCCAAAGTGCAGAGTTTTTAAGTGTAGAAATGAAAGGGACTAAATTACTACGGTCTGTAAAAATCGTAGTTGTTTAGCTTCGTATTTTATTCAGCGGCTTCTACGAATCTTACGGCGATAATGCAATCGGCTATGTCCAAATTAAAAGAGATGGAGAATTATGTACAGTAAAAGGTCGAGTTCCCCAGAGAATAAAGTACGTAAAGAAGGTTATCGTGTTACAGTTATTTAAAATGAAACGCAAAGCTTGGTTCAGTCCTGCCAATGTGAAGATTGTGCAACATATTTTAAAGTTTATCTAATTTTCGACGTCATTCTCCAACTGTAAAATTAAAAATATGTTATAGACAGGTTTTGTAACGGGTAGGTTACTAATGCGTTTTTACGTACAAGCAGATTAATTAACCATATAACAAGTATATTCGCCGACTTACGTCAAAGTGGTCTTCACAGCATCAAATAATGGTCTTTGGAGAATAATTGTTATTTCTCTTCGCAGCTTAAAACCACTTTTTTTTCAGTTTTGGGTCAGAAGTTCCAGTCAAAAACAATTTATTTGGAAACTTTGTTGAAGTAGATTGGCACAAAACATCACGTCAACGAGTCAACACGACTTTTTTTCGGAATATTAGTGGTATTGTTATAAAAAATATTTCGAAAATCGAAAAAATATGCAAAAGTATGGAAATTTAAAGCCAGCGACGAACAAGTACGACCAGTGTCAGACAGGAGTGACGTCATCGCAACCATAGGTTCGTTTTCGCGCGAAAATTTAAATTGTCAATTTTAAACCGCATTTTTTCCGATAAATCACAATGTTTTAATTTTTTAATATATCTGTGGTTTATTCTACATGGAATTCTTTAAGATGAAAACAAAAATAAAAATATTGCGTCTTCCCTATTTTAATAATAAAGAAATAAATCAACAATAAATACTGTACATTTATACCGATTTAATAAGATTCACGATGTTTTTTTTTCGGTTTAGAAAATTTTCATGTACATTTTTATTAATAAATATTAGACGTCACAAGGTTACATTCTATGATCTTTAAAACCAGAGATGCGACTTAGGTTTTATTATATAATCGATTAAATTCGTGCATAATCGTAATCGTAAAGCTTTTATTGTGTATGAAAAATTGTACCGACAATTTATAATCAAAGTTTAAAATTTACAAAATTAACACATTACTATTTATTTGATTAACAAACACGAAAAATACGGGGTGGTGACGATATCGTATCGTGGTCGTAATTTTAAGTAAATAAACTCAACTTTTCACCCCGGCTAGGCTCGGCCCCGCCCGCGCTAGCGCCTGTTTGCAGTGTTCCGCGCTCCGTGGTGAAGTGGATCCGACAACGAGCGAGCGCTGCCGAAAGTTTACGAACATTCGTTGACGCCATTTTAGATTCTGCATCGTGGCATCGGCGTGAGTCGTGCGTGACGTCTCAGTATAAGTATGAATGTATTGGCGTTGCGTCTGATATTGCAGTTATTGGAAAAATTTAAAAAGAAAAACAAAAGAGCTGATTATGGCTGATTAAGATAGGGATATCCACATTATAGTACGATTATTAATTCCAGTCAGTAAAATGACATTTCCAATGTTGCAGGTTTTTTGTCCCAAATAAATAGTGATGTGGTAGAATCGAGTTTTTACAATTAAAGGTTAGTCGAGATTACATTTTTTTTATTCATTATCAAATTGCATTTATATAATATACTAGCGGCCCGCCCTCGCTTCGCTTCGGTGTAGAGCTGAAGTGTAGACTACAGTTTTTGTTCTCAGGCTTGTATTATACACAATGACATTCATCTATGATTCTTCTTATACCTGCATGCAAAGTCTCAGCCCGATCGGTTTAAAATTGATAAAGTTTCATACAAACTTTCATTCCTTATTTTATCCCCTTGGGATTTTCTTTATATTTTTTTCCGTAAGAACCTTGTACAGAGTATTAGAAAACTACAAAAAAAAAACAGCCAAATCGGTCAAGCCGTTTTCATGTTATGTCGTGACAACGGAAAACGGGTTTCATTTTTATATATATAGATAAATAAAAATATGTAATTTACGGTAATTAAATAGAACACATACACGGTAAGTAATTTATTTAATATTACATAAAACACTGTTGTATTAAGTTAAATATCTCATTGTGTTGACTCGGTGAATTTTTGGTCATTGGAAACACTATGGTCATCACTTGTCGCGCTATGGACGCCATTTTGTTTTTCATTCTGCTCCCGAATTCCGACGGTGTCAGAAGTGTTTGGTATCCTCTGCAATTTCTTGTTTATTTCTTACTTGTTAACTTGTTATTTTTTTGTTGAATTTTGTTACGTTTGTTTTTGTTAACGAATTAAATGAGCCACAGCCGAAGTATCGAAAAAAAATGATTTATTCAAGAATAAATATTACTTATTACCTTATTACTAATTAAACTATTGACCCTATCGATGCTTGAATAGAAGTGGCCGAGTCGGTGCCTGCAGTCCGGCGCCCCGACGGTGACACGTTCCGCTGCATCAGCTCCTCGTGCCAGCAATTTACGTCAATCGGTTGTTTGTTGAAATTAAATTGGGGACAGCTCTTCGTCAGCGTTTCCGGTAGTGAGTGACGGCGTAACACCCCCCCTCCCAGTTCAGCAACTATTTGCGAACGCTGAGTGAAAATGTTGCTGGAAAATTCTTGTCTCGGTTTGAAGTTTCTGGGATCGCATATTCCTGGTTTCCAACTTTCCTGGTCTCAGTAGTGTTTTCTTGGTTTAAGGGTCTTCTTCTGAAATGCCTCTTGATGATTGTGGCAGCTACAGTTAGAATTAGGATGATGGTGATTATATAAAATGGTATTGTGGTATGATAGAGTCCTTCAGGGATCTTCTCGATTGTTACAGGAGTCTGTAGCATGATGTCATCTTGAATCTTGTGCAGATTCTTCAAGCTGATTGAATTCAGGTTGATGTGGGTTGACGTGGATGCTTGTGTCTTGAAATCATAATCGATTTTGAGGATCTTCAGTGGCTGTCCTCTGACTTCGTCGTTAGAATTTATAAGGGTTATTTCATCTGTGCGCAGCGAACACGAAAGTGGAATCGTCAGTAGATAACTGCCCTGCAATGTGTTGTAGTTTTCATCTCCACATTTTGTTTGAATCTTAGTTGGATGCGGGAACGAGATAACGTAGTGGCGATTGTCCAGTTGTTCAGCAGCCTCTTTATGTAGGTGAATTGTTGTAAGATTGCAGCTTCTGTCAAGAGTCTTGCTTGAGATGAAATTGTGCACGCAGTCAGCATCCGTCCGGACGTGATGATTCATCTTCTCTTCGCAGAGATACTGGTTGGAGCTCAACTTCGGGCATTCAGCCTCAATGTACATGAATGCTTTCCCAGTGGTTGCTATGTAAGGATAAGGAGGTATAAGGGCTTGGGAATGTTCGCTGGGAACTACAGCTAATCTATAAAGGATAAATGTCTCTATTGAAGCTATCGGGAATTTAAAAACAATCACTAACTTCCGTTCATCATAATAATAGCCGGTTTTAATTATGTCATAGTATTCTCTTAATTCTAAATCTAATATTTGATCTCTATGATATACTTTTCTAAGTTTACCTAACATATTACCTAAAATATTTATTCCTATCATACTATGGTGTGTGAAAGATAAAATATTTTCTAATCTTAATAATTCTTGAGAAAGATCTTCTACATCTTCACTCATTATAGCCAAAATTTGAGCTAGCCTCGCGAACTTCATTAGAGTATAATCCCTTTGAACATCACTATCAAAAAGAATCTGTAATGTAGTATTAATTTTACTTTGATTTTCAATTATTTTAGATAGAATACTTGTATGTTGAGCCATCCATTCTTTACTAAAACTGATATGGTTATTTATCTCGTTCGAGTTTTTAATCTTATTATTTTGTAAAATGTCTATTGCTTTGTTAAATGTAACAGCATCTGTGTAGTCCAAATTACCTGTAATAGTTTTGATAACAGATCCTAGACCACCTACAAGACCTCTCTTGTAACGGCCAGGTAATAAGCTTTTTAATTGTTTAGCTACCTTAATTAGTTTGCCACTTAGATACTCTGTTTGATATTCATACAAAGTATAAGTGTCATTTGGCATATGATGTCTGAAATTAAATAATTGAGTCTGTAAGTTGGAAATAGTATTACCAATATCGTCTAATTTAATATACTGAAGGAAGCTATGATAGTGATTAGTCAGCCGAGTCAACCCAATTCTAAACGGAAGTAGCCCTATACTCCTATTAAGATTGTCAAACTTAATTTCTTCACTGGCTGTCAGTTGGATGACGAGAGTCCACAGGATTCTGCAACAATTTGGATGACTTAGGCACGCGTTTAAGTCTAGATTTAGCAACAGCACCACGTTTTTTGATGTATAAATGTGTATCGGCAAATCAGCTAAGACAGTGTCCTGTGTGTATCGTGGAGCTAGTTTCTGTCTAGATGCGGCAGGGTTTTTTATGAATACTT